GCGCAGACATGTTGGAAACATTATTCCTATCAAGTGAGAGCAAAAGAGAAGATTGTTATTGCATGGCCAAGAATAAAGACAGTGAAAAGAGGTCTTTCCAACAGCATATACCTAAGCTTTGCGGTAGACTTCATGCAACAGCTACCAGTATTGTAAAGCACAAGCATCTGGAACCTCAGCACAAGTCCCAGCAAAGAGTTCAATTCCTTTCCTTTACCTTTGGACATCCAACCCACAGACTCAGAAAACCTCAATTCTTATCTAGGAAGAACAGCAGCATTCAGGTCTCCGCACACACCTTCCAGGTTTGTAGTTTCTTTCCAATGCCCCCTCCTCCTTCTCTGCATAGGAGCCCTTCACTGAACCAGTCACTTAGATGTTAACTCTTACAGCTCGTTTGCAAAAGCTGCCATCCAGAGCAAAATCAGAAATACAGTTAATGCCATAAGTAAATGCCTCTCTCTCTCATCACAGTTATCATTAAAATTAAAAGATACCCACCATGCTCACAGATACACATAAAAACTGTGAAGTCTGACTCCCAGCAAGTATTTTAACACAGCATAGAGGAAGCCCATTGCACTTTACAATTCTGGGGAGCACGGCTCTATCCTCTCCAGCTTCCAACCTGCACTGTTCAGCTCAGTGGATTAGCCCCTCAGAGACTGGAACGAGTTGCCCAGAGAAGATGTGGATGCTCCATGTCTGGAAGTATTCCAGGCCAGGTTTGATGGGGCTTTGAGCAACCTGGTCTAGTGGAAGGTGTCCCTGCCATGGCAGGGGGAAACTAGATTACCTTTAACGTCCCTTCTAACCCTAACCATTGTATGTTTCTATTATACGGCATTGCGACAAGACTATGATTCACAATTCTAGAGTCAGGAGAACCTAGAAATTGCTATGCTTTCTAATTCTACCAAGAGATGTACTGTGTTGCATCTGATAAATCTATTCCTTTGCATTTGTATTATTTTAGTATGCCTCCCTTAAGTAAAGTATGATAGGAATTGCTTCACTGAATCCGTGCTGTCTTTGAAAAATGTAGGATTCGTGCCACAGCAAACAGCAGCACAATGACGGGCAGTAAATAACCATAGTGAATAGTGAAATTAATCAATTTTGACTCCCAGTTACAAGTATAAACACTGCAATTCTTACCTAACCTGCACGTTGAAGCAAACTGGTGTTAAAGGACAAGATAAACGAGCAACAGGACATGGCCTGGGTCTTACAACAGGCTCTGCCAGTGCAGCAGTGGAGCCTGCCTTCAAGGAGTGGAAATCACCCTTGCACTATGCACAAGTGGAAACACAGTCAGAATTAGCTGCTACTGGCCCAGTCAACATCCAGCGTGACCAAGAAGCCCAATGCCTTCCGACCCGACCTACTGACTCTCTTTAGACAGAGCAATCAGCCTTTCCCCCCCCCCCCCCCAAAGTCTTCTTTTACAAGCTTATTCTTGTGTGTAAATCAATGAGTAAACCCCCAAGGTTAGCACTTGGGCACCTTTCCCCACAGCAGCTACAACTCCTACTCCAGGCACACTGAGACTTAAACAGAGCGAACATCAAGGGTTGCAGTGAGAGTAAACCCACAAACCCAAATACTTTTTCAGCACAACTGCACGGTGGCCCCATTACGAACCACAGGTTCACACGCAGGCTCCGCTTTGCCCCCTCCTTTCCCCTCAGGGACCGATGTTTCCCGTGCGGGGACCGCAAGGACCGGCCGCCCCTCCCCGCCCCCGCCCCGCCATCACGTGGCCGCAGCACCGGGGAGGCCGCGGCGCCATCTTCGGTGAGGGCAGAGCGCCCTTAGCACTCGCCTCCGGCCCGGCGGCCCCGGCTCCCTCCAGGCTCGCCCTCCACCCACATTCTGGCCCCGGCAGGGCGGGCGGCGGGACGCCGCCGGACGCCGGCTCTTGTCCCCACTGTGGCCCTCGTCCCCCAGTCACTGCCGGGGCGCGATGTGCCCGGGCCAGCCTCGCCTCTCCGGGCGCTCCCAGCCCCGCTCCCTCCCCCGGGTCCGCCGCCTTTCCCCGGCCCCCGCAGCCCGTACTCACAGCCCAGCGGCCACAGCCCTCGCCCCGAGCCGGCGTGGCGTGTGGCTGCTCGGCCCGGCCGGCACCTCCCCCGGGGCCGCCGGGCGGGGACACGGCACCACCCGCCTCGCTCCGCCGCGCCCGGCCCGCCCGGCCTGGCCACGCTCACCAGGGTGCCCGCGGCTTGTCCCGAAAAGCCTGTAAGGGCCAAGGGCAGTATGTCAGGTCAGACACAGTCACTGAGTCACAGAATATGCTGAGTTGGAAGGGACCAACAAGGATCATCGAGTCCAACTCCTGGTCCTGCACAGGACCATCCCCAGGAGTCACACCATGTGCCCGAGAGTATTGTCCAAACACTTCTTGAACTCTGTCAGGCTTGGTGCTGTAAGCACTTACCTGTGGAGCCTGTTCCAGCGCCCAACCACCCTCTGGGTGAAGAACCTTTCCCTAATATCTAACCTAAACCTTTCCTGACATAACTTCAGGCCGTTCCCATGGTCCTGTCACTGGTCCCCACAGAGAAGAGATCAGTGCCTGCCCCTCCTTTTTCCCTCACAAAGAAGTTGTTAAACTGCATTGAGGTCTCCCCTCAGTCTCCTCCAGGCTGAACAGACCAAGTGACCTCAAGGAAGGGGGAAGTTACCGTCCTTTGGATGCTAACAGCTTAATATCTTTCTTATACTGTGGTGACTAAAACTGCACACAATATTCGAGATGAGGCTTCAGCAGTGCAGAGTAGAGTGGGAACAGACAGGCCAGAAACAATTTGGCCTTGGACTTTCAACTTCAGCAGAGAAACAGCCATGGCTCCATGCTCGCTGGACCCACGCCCATTGAATCCATGAAGCTTGGACAACAAAACTAGCCCATACAAAACGATTCTGTGCTAAATGTGAGCAAGTGTCCCCTATGCTTGCCCCAAGTTGCTGCCCGCCTTCGTGCAGCAGACATAGCCATGGTCTTGCCTCTCTCCATGCAGCAATATTCCCTACCTGCATGGGAAAGACTTGCCTTCTGATTGCTGGTTCCTGCAGGGAGTAAGTGCCTAAATGATTTCACAAGATCTGGAAAGCAATAGTAAGACAAAGTAAGTTGTAAGGGGCTTACTGCACCTGTACTTTACTGTGTGAGTGGCCGTGCACTGTAAAAGAGGGGTTGTACACTCTCCCTCACTGGAGATACTGGGGAACTGTCTGGACACAATCTTGTGCCATGTGCTCTAGGATGATGCTGCTTGAGCAGGGAGGTTGGACTGGGTGTGGTCCCTTCCAACCTGACCCATCCTGTGACTCTGTGACTTAAAGTAATAACTTAATGAAATGATAATACTGTTCTCAGAGCCCGATCCTACTAGTTAATAAATCCCAATTCTCGTAGGTGTCACACTGCTCTACCTTGGAGCAGACCATCTTGCAGGACAAACAAATCAACATCACCTGCTTTAAGTGATTGCTGTCTCCTTTCAGATTAGGAACAAGCTAAATGAAGCAGTCACACTTCATGACTAGCTGAAATAATCTCACCTGCAATTTGTCATTTCTCACAAAGAGTATTTGTCTGCTTTATTGCCCCTTGACCCCACTTTATGCAAGGAACAATAAATCATTACTATGGAAATTATGACTTGGGGCTCTCATATCATACTGCAGAGAGACAGCCTGAGGAAAGCACTCTAAAGGGAAAGTACTCTCAGAGGAAAGTTATAACTGCTCACCATTTTGAAGCTTTTTGTTGTAAGAGGAGCCTAGTGATAGTATTCTCATGTTTTTCAAGGCACACTTCTATTTGTCCTCAGAAGAAAAATGTGCCACCATTGAAAAATAAATCAATTCAAACAGTTTATATTCCTAAAAAGCACTCAGTGAAGCAACCTGGCAACTAGAGGTGGTCATTCAGAGTATCTGACAAATGTAGTAGCTTCATGCTGCCACACATTTGCAACATTGGTCCAACATGAAGTAAACTCAGCAACACTTCTGAAGTACTGAAGTGCTAAAATTGCCCTGTGTTGTAATGATTGCCTGTCCTGGCAGGATGGGGGGGAGTGGGGAAACACCACCTCAACACTTATACCTATTATCAGGTATCTCACAGACAGTATTTTCCTAATTCAGAACACAATAGCTTCTGTACAATGCACAGAACAGTTACTACATTTAAATTATTAAACCACAGGAAACTATGGATGATACTGGTTTTTTTCCCCTTCCCTTTGCCACCCGTAAATTAGTAACATTCTCCAGATGGCAGGTGCTCAATTTTTTTAAAAACCAAAACCACAGCCCCCAAACCTCAAGAGATTTTTGTTTGTTTCTCCCACTGTTGCCATCTTGGCAGTGAGAAAGCATGATTTATTTGAAACTTGCTTTGGTTTCAACTACCCTTCATAGGGTGTTCTTTGCTAAACAACTGTTTCTAGTAGCAGAGACAATTAAACTACTGCAGTTCAGGCTAACCATTTTCTGAAGTACTTATCTACATTTTTTCATATAGAAAACCCTTTTGAATATTTATATATCATTAAAACATGACTATGTATAAATATTTTAAACTGAAGTTGCAGCAATATCAAGTCTTCAGTTTCAGTTCCGAGTTGTTTAATTTTCTCTAGAATAAGGATCAGAGTATGGACTGGTTTTCAGAGCCAAACACTCAAAAAGTGATCTGGAGGAACTGTTTGGACAGAGCTTTTATTTCTGACATTAGGAAATAAAATTTCATTTATGGCATGCTTCAGAAACTCTTATTTACCTGATGATAACATGAACCATCAGAAGAGACACCGGAAAACACAGGTCAATTAGGTTATACACTACTTTCTGCAGACTAACTGATACTTTGTATTTCCTTCATCCCTTCATCAGTTATGGCTGGATGACATGTAGCCTGCCAGGCAGCTCCCCTCCACCCTTAGGCTTACACACAAGCAGAGGGATGCAGCTGTCACTCCGAGTTCATTATCAACATTTTAATAATGAGATTGCTTTAAAAAAATATAAAATCTGCAAACAGTAACTTAAACGGCTGCAGACCAGTTTATTTCTGCTGAACCCCCCACCATATATTTATCCTTTCTTTTGTAGTAAATTCTGTGTTTCTTTATGACCTGACCAACTCCATACATGTAACAAATGTATTGATACATACACCCCCCACAAATAATATCCAAGTTCTGCACCTGTCTTTAGAGTTATCTTGCAAGTTGGAAAATATTTGAGGACAATTCAAGGGATAAAGTCATTACATTACGTACTCTCATTCTGTTTTGTAACTCCTGTTGATTTTTATTGATGGTGATAAATGCATTTAGTTTTCAGCAAGAGTTATTACTTCTATTTTTTCTAACAATATTTCAGGGTTGAAAAAGTGCAATTTCTAGGGCCACGAAAATAACTCAAGTAATGGAAAACAAGTTCTTGTGACACAAAGACGAAGAAGGTCAAAAGCAGAGAGCCTCAAGTAGATTGCAGTTCATACCTGAAATGGAAGACTGTTCTGTCTCTTTGTGAAAGTACATGATTTTTTACACCAGATAAAACCATTTCTGGAAATTACTTAACATTTAAACAATATTCCAAAGTGAAAAATTATCCTGTCCGCTCAACATTTAAATTCTTTAAAAGGTCTAACATGAATTCATCATGGCTGTATGGGAAAAACTGTTTCCTCAAAAATAAAGATACTGAAATCTAAGCTTTATGCAGATAAACAAGCTAGGATTAAAAAGACACACAGACACTTTCCCCCAAAACAGTGGCCTTCGATTTTATTCTTTAGCCTTTTTCAAGCTGTCACTATAACTTTACATTTTGTACAGTATTTTGTGTATCAAGGGAAAGAATTATCTTTAACAAGATTTAATGTATTACAATATTAAGGACCGTTGTATTTGCATCCATGATGTTTAAAAAATCTCTCAGACAAACCATGTAGAAATAAGTATGCAAAAACTGCAAAGAAAAACATTTAAGTAGCCAAAATTAAAAAGACCTTTGTGTGAACCACACAGTCTTGCTTGGTTTCTACTAGGCTATTGCAGCCAAGTAGTCTTTAACCTCAGTTGGAGTGAGCCTCCTAAAACCAGCTTCATTACAGATGCCAACTTCAATGTTGTCTTCTGTCATTTGCCCTTCAAAGCTCTCCTATTAAAAAAAATACAGTTCAGTGGATCATATCAATGAAGTCATAACATAAGAAACTTCTTTCTTAAATATTTTGCTCACCTTTAGTGTTAAAATAGCTGTATGAATGGCATCTTCGAGCTCCAAATCTTCATTGTATCTGTAAACAGACATTTATGTATTTCAGCAAGGGACAAAGCCCTTTCCAAATTTTACTAATCCCGGAGTCTCTAAAAACCCAAACACTACTAAAATCTTTCTCATACAAATATTATTTGTAAGCACTGTAACATTATGAGTCAAAGTTATTATTTGTCAAAATAAGAACAGTACTTTTCATACTGACACTATATATAACAATATTGCTGCAAATTATGTTGAATATAATGTTTATTGCACTCATACAATTCTCCATAAACAAAAAAGTTGGAGTTTAAATAAATCAAACTTCCTGTGCATATGTAAGTAAGTAAACTAGAAGCATCACATCTTAAGTATTTTAAAACTTTATTCTGATAATCTAAAAAGTGTGCATTTTTTTTTAATCTGGCTGTTTTACATGGAATCTGAACAAAACACAGTATCCTTTTAGACAAGTATCAAATACATTACCTTTTCTCAAGGAATGTTTTCCCATTGACATAATTTTTTCCCATTGCTGTTGCTTTCCATGCAAAGTAAGCTCCCTGTAAAAGCAACAATCTATTGAACTGTTTTGTGTGACTTAGTCAAACACTATGTATTCAATTACTTGGGAAAAAAGTACAGCAAACAATTACGAAAATACTGAATGTTCTGAGACTATGGGAGATAATTTTGGATCACATTCAGAATAATTTGATACAGGAACATATGCTGTGAAAATGTACAGAATGTTTGTATGAGGCCCAAACTATTTTCATCCTCCCACTACTTTGAAAGATGAACTAGTAAGTAGTTAGCATAGCTTTGATTTGGGATTCCCTAAACAGAAATAGTATGTTTGCCTTTGAGAAAGTGCACAGTCAGATCCTTACTGAGGTTCACTCCACTCTTCTTTTTGAAGACTAGGTAGTGTAAAAAACTTGTTGCAAATCAGCTATCTGATTTATGTTAGCTACTAACAGGATATTTAGCCATCACTTCTATTCTCTCTGGCATGAAGACTATCAGCAGGTCTGTGCCTTAATCAAATTGCCTTAAGGCATCTGCATTTTGTTTTTTACGTTGGAGAATCAGGCAGTAATTCAAACTTCTGAAGCTCACTGATGATCATGACAGTGACCTCCTCGTTTTTTTTGTCTGAAGCACTGCACCTCACATGCATCAAAGGGTAGTTTTTCAGAAGTGCGGAGCAAACCTAGCTAATAAAGTCACTTAACCACTGTCATTAAATACAAAGGCATGTGCATTATGTTTCACAATACAACAGCTTTTGACTTAACTTCCATTCAGTTTTGAGCAGCATAAGCAGACTTTTTTTTTTTCTGGTATCTGTTGCAGAAGGCCGTTTTTGCTGGCACAATCAACTAGGAAAGGCATGAAAAGGGTTGGTGATCTCCCTGAAAAGCAGCTCCCATCCCTCAAGCAGTTCAGGAACATCTAGGTCCAGAATGATCCAGACTTGCTCCAAGCACCTACTGAAATGGCTCATTTTAACTTCTGAAGTTATGTTAAGGTATCTTTTGTTCTAGCTCTGCATTGTTCTCATCACAGAAAGTATTTCATAAGCACCTGTGAAATTTCATGTTTTATAAAAGCAGCAGAATTTACAAATGTAAGATACTTACAGATGGATCCGACTGAAATAAATACGGCCGCCCTTCATTCCAGCCACATATTAGCAGTGACACACCAAAAGGACGAACACCACTACAGGAAAACAAAATGATAAATTATTCAGTGAAAGGCAAAGGTGACTAAATTATTTTGGATGTGTTAACCTTCCCCCGAATGGTTCCCACCAGACTGTAGCTGTGATGAGGAATGACTAGTCAACCACCAGAACAAGCCCAAATAATGCTGCCTTGTCTGACACGTTGGTTTGCAAGATATGGAGACTCATTCTCAGCCAGTGCCAGTCCACGCTCCTCCAACTGGCCCACTTTCTGTGCATGTTCTCCACTGAAAAACTAACTGTCTTTGACACAAAAACTTGAATCATTGGGTAGCTGTTACTCCTTACTTTTAAAAAACATCTTTCTAAGCAACTTTGCAATTCCACCACATACCCAGATTGCGTGTATTCCTGCATCACAGAAGCAATTCTCTGTACTAGCTGAGCTGTTGGAATGGGCTCATGATAAACCAAGTAATACTGTTGGGCCAGCTTCCGAGCTCTGTGCACGAGTACTCTAAAAACAAAGACAAAATTACTATGTCAAAGAAATTCTAACTAGAACTGAAAACTCTTAATAAATACAATGCTACAGAGTTGTACCTCTGTCGTAACATTAATGTAAGAAAACAGACTGTGCTGGTTTACCTTTATCAACTGAGTAATCTCTGAAACACTTAAACTGAAACTAAGGTTGAATAACACCACTTTCATTCTTCCCATAAAAGGTTATTTGACAAGGTATCAGATATATTAAGGAAAATTTCAAGTGAATGTCATTTTATTATAATAAAATATGGTATTACAACATATACTTAGAAAGACTTAGAAACAGCTAATTGCTACCTGCTTCTTACACTTCTTGTATGAAAATGGATCTAAGTGGTGATCAAACAAGATGTTTTCGTACCTGTAATCTGGACCCATTCCACTGTACACTAAACCTATATGTTTGGTAATTGGTTCTACTTTGTGGACACTCCTTTCATCATACAGAATGGATTTCTGCTTCTTCTCAGTTGCCAACACCACTCCATTTGCAGCTGGAAAAGAACAGGAAATTTTTTTAAATATTAAACTAAAACTATGGAAAGCAGTCGAAACACAGAACAAGTTTATCGGACTAAAAATTTTCTTCCTCTATTTTTAAAAAAACTCTTCAAGTTTACAATCGTGTTACAGAGAGATACTTTGATGAATCCACCCAACCCATTGTTTCGCATTTTAAATAACCATACAGCTCCCACAGTCCCATTCTAAAGATTCTGAATAACATATTAATAATTGAGTAATCAAAGTAACTTTTTTGTGTGTAATTTCTATATATAAGGATAGGAACAATCAAAAAAAACCCCAAACCAAACACCTATCTCTACCACCTGAACGTCTACAGAATCACCCAGAAAAGAACCCCAGAAAACACTAAACCTATTAAAACATTTGAAAATCCACTGAAAGAGTAACAAAATATGTAACAGAAGGAAAGATAAAGAAAGGTCCAATACACAGGACCCAGTACATAATCCAAACTGATTTAGTTCTCTCAAAGGATAGTCAGAATCCCAAATCCTTCACTAAAGTAGTTATTTTCTGGACATACCTTTAATCCCAACTGATGGAGCTCCTGCAGCTACTGCAGCCAAAGCATATTCAATCTGAACAAGCTTTCCAGAAGGACTAAAAAGGAAGATGCAAAAGAAAGATTAACATAATTCCAATGCCCTCGAATCTTTCCTACAACAATCTGATGCCAACTTGCTTTTTTAAGCCACTTTACATCCGGCAACAGCATATTCTGACCAGAATTTAAAAAAAAAACAAAAAACAAACAGCAAAACCTCACAGGTCTGAAGACTTGTAAGAGCTTCTAAAGGAGTTGGACTGGTTCAGCACAGAAGTCACTGCTGCACAGTGCTACTGGGATACTCACACAGCATTAACCTACAGCCCTCATGAAAGCTAAGGAGTCACAGGTAGGAAGCAGTGACTGGGATGCAGGTTGAAGGAGGACGAGTCCGTTCTCCAATTTTATACCATTTTAAAAAAGTTTTCCACTCAGAGGGAAAAATCTTCAGAGCGTGTCATGAGTTTCTACTCACGATATACATTATATGTGTGGTGTCCAAAAGTTTTCAAGACACTGATGTTCTCTGCTGAAAGGTACCAGCAAAAAACAGCTATGCTTTTTGACAGATAAGCACAAGACAGAAACAACCCCTGTTCCATTTCCAGGTATTCCTGAATGTCTCTTTAACAATCCATGTGCTGGTAATGGATGCAGAATCATCAGAACAGAAATAAAGGAGTTAAAGCTGGCATGGTAACTTACTCATAAGGAGCAGGATCAAGAGGTCCATTCTTGACCCTTAGGGAAAAGGACAGCACAGAGACAGCCACTCACTTGTCAAGTGATTTTGCAAGTGGGATCTAGTGCCTGGGCTGTATTTCAGACACTGCTGCTTTAACAGTTGTGGAAGTAAAATAGAAAATTATGTAACTTGGTGCTTAGGTGAGTCAGAAAGAACAAAGCAAGCCATAACCAATCACTGTAGTCATTTATACACTGAGGAAACAGGTTATAAAGGTGACAAAGTAATAATTCTGGCTTCTCCACTACAAAATACTAATAAATCAGAACAAGAGTTCCGAGCACATAGTGCTTCTGTACAATACAAAAAGTTTGTAACTCCTCCAGGAAACCATTTGCAAAAGCTAATAGAGAATTCAATCTGCTAGAGCACAGCAAGCATGCTGGGCTGCTTCCATCCATTAAAAACAGTCTTTTCATCATTTTAGGTCATGAACTGCTTCATTTGCTTAACTGCAACAAGCCTTTAGCAACTCACTCTGCGATTACACAGCACAACTCTCCTCTGAGGTTAAGGGGGTCTAACTTCACCACAAGCAGCATATAAAGGTTCTTGCTTTTTTGCCAGTTTTTCTTTTTTATATGTATAACATAGTCCTGGATAGCTTAATAGTTTCATCAAAAAATGAATGGAAGGTAATTTCCTTTTCTCTGAATTAATCTTAAGTCTATGTATTAGAGCAACATCTCAACAGACACCACTCCAACAGCAGCATATTCATTCCGTGCATGCAACCATCCCACATCCAGGCTGTGCACAACACGAAGTGCACGGAAAGCAGCAACTGCAGAGTGCAGCAAGAAGAAAAATATACTACTTTATAACTCATCTGCTTCATTCATTCCCGCATCTGCAAAGCCTGTTCTGAAGCAAGCTCTCAAGATACCACAGCTCAGCTGTCATCACGCATTTCCAGGTAGCTCAGAACCACAGAATCACTCCCCAGCCTAAAGAGTGGGGGGGTGGGAGAACCCTGCTAAGCCGTTTCACCAAGCACTCGCTGCAGGGCCAGTGCCGAGACAGATCTTAGCTTGGCCCACAACGAGAACAGACACAAGCAGCGCCCGCAGCGGCCCCCGAGGTCAGCGACAGACAGCCGGTGGGAGTCGGGACTCTCCCGCAGCCCCTGCCTCCGCCCCCGGGGGTGCCAGCAGCCCCTCAGGTCGGCAAGAGTCTGTTGCAGCTGCATGGCCCCCTCGGGCCAAGGCAGCACCGCCCGATCCCCGCCGCTCTCCCCACGCCCGCCGCCCCCGTGCGGGTCCGGCCCCCGCTGCCCCCCAGCGCCCGCAGGCCCGATGACTCTGCAAAGCGACCCCTCGGTCCTGCGTCGCCGCCGCCAGCAGGCCGCTCCGTGCAAGCTGCGTGCCGCCCTCCCGCTGGCCCGGCAGCCCGCCCGCCGCTGCCCCTGGGCCTGCAGCCGCCCCTGCGCCGGCACCTGAAAGTGGTGAGGGAGAAGCTGTAGCCGCGCTCCGCCATCTTGGCACCAGCCCCTGCGCTCTCCGCGCCGGCTCCCTCGACGCACGCGCGGCCGCCGCTCCCGCTCCCTGCGCGAGGGCACGGCGAGCGCGCTGATTGGTGCGGTGGCAGCGCGTGACTGAGCCTGCCGGGATGCGGTTGGCGGAGAGGCGCGCCGTGAGGAGCGCTGGGAGTTGGAGTCCTCCAGGCCCTCCACTGCCCCTCCCTCCCGGTAGCGAGAGAAATGCTGGGACTTGGAGTTCCCGTCCAGTGTCCCTGCTATGCCGCGGCATGCGGCGGGCACTCGGTTTCCCAGGAGGCTCAGCGACAGGCGCACCTTCCCGGAGGGCTCGGCGAGGCCATGGCGGTGCTGGTGCTAGTCCGCTCTCCGCTGCCGCGGCTTCGCGCTCTCCTCCAGCGTTGCTGGGGGCGACTGGAGCGCGGCCTCTTGCCGGGCGGCCTTGGGGGCCAGAGCCTGCCCTGGGGTAAGTCCCGCCCTGTTCTCCGCCCGCTGAAGGAACGGGACGCGTTCCTGTGCCACCTGCTCTTGGTGACTCTGCCTTGGCTGGGGGGCTGGACTAGATGATCTCCAGACACCACTTGCATCTCTACAATTCTGTGAGGGGGCGGTTTCGGGGCTGCGGGACTCGGTTTACCTTTGAACGGCTGGGGCGCGGCCCTGGGATCCGTGAGGGCGCGGGGCGGGGGCCGCCGCTCTGACCGCCTTCCTTCGGGGGTGGCCGCAGCATCGTGTCGTGTTTCCGCGGCCGCCAGCTAAAATGGGGTTGGCTGTAAGGAATTTCGCAGAATCACAGCATATGCTGAGTTGGAAGGAACCCACAAAGGTCATGAAGTCCGACTCCTGGCCCTGCATAGGACAAGCCCAAGAGTCACACCCTGTGCCTGAGAGTATTGTCCAAACACTTCTTGAACTCTATCAGGCTTGGTGCTGTGACCACTGCCCTGGAGAGCCTGTTACAGCACCCAGCCACCCTCTAGGTGAAGAACCTTTTCCTGAGATCCAACCTAAACCTTTCCTGACACAACTTCAGGCCATTCCCATAGTCGTGTCACTGGTCCCCACAGAGAAGAGATCAATGTCTGCCCCTCCTCTTGCCCTCACAGTGAAGTTGTTAAACTGCAATGAGGTCTCCCCTCAGTCTCCTCCAGGCTGAACAGACCAAGTGACCTCAGCTGCTCCTCATACAGCTTCCCCTCAAGGCCCTTCACCATCTTTGTTGCTCTCCTTTGGACACTCTCTAAGGGCTTAGTATCTTTCCTATATTGTGGAGCCCAAAACTGCACACAATATTCAAGGTGAGGCTGCACCAGTGCAGAGCAGAGCGGGACAATCCCCTCCCTCTTTTTCTTTCTCCTTCAGGACCAGCACTAGCTGTGCAAGCTCCAGCTGTTCTTCCACAAGCAGCAGATGACGCCAGTGAAAGTAGCGCTGAAGCACCGGGTCTGTTGGAGAGCATCCTGTGGATGGCAGTGCCCAAGAAACGGCGCACCATCGAGGTGAACCGCTGCCGGCGGAGGCATCCCAGCAAGCTTATAAAAGTAAAGGTAATCACCAAGTTTCCACTGCCTTGCCACCATATCCACCATGAGTAATTTTGTTGGTGGCAAATAGGGCAGAGTAATATTTACACCAGTCATTTTTCACCTTGCTTGTTTTAGAGAATCATCGCAGTTGTCAGTGCTGACTGAAAAAGCTTTCTGAACTTTGTTTATAAATAAAGAAGCATAAAATCCTTTGGAAGAGGTACATTCATCCTGTGTGACAGTAGTCTGTCGTTAAATAAACAGTGAGACTTTAGGTGCAAGCCAACAAAATGAATTTTGGCTGAACAGATAGTGTAAGTGGAAAAGATCTGTGCTTTCTATGCACCTAATTGAGTCATTATCGATAAGCGTAATGACTTAGATACTGACTTCACAGGCTGTTTTTAGTAGTAAGCATTTGACACAGCAACACATTACAGAAAAATTATATAGAAGAATAGATTTTTGAATGGTAATTGAACTTCTCTGGTATTTCGTTTAAATTTTTTAGTAGTTTGTGATTGCTCCCTGTTCTTTTGTTGCTGCTGTTCAAATTATAAAATTTCCTGTTTTCCACTGTTGTTTCAGAGGAACATAGATGTTTGTCCTGAGTGTGGAAACTTGAAACAGAAACACATCCTTTGTGGCTATTGCTACGCGAAAGTCAAAGCAGAAACTCATCTGATACGGATGGAAATGCGCAAAATGGAAGGAGGACCATTTAAGGCTCCAACTGTAGAGACTGTTGTCCTTTATGATGGAGAAAAGCCTTCAGAAAAAGATGAAGGCAAACGGATCATTGAAAGAGCCAGGAAACGCCCATCTTGGTTTGTTCAAAATTGATGCTATAGATTTAATGCTAACAAAAACAGTTGCTGCAGCAAGAGAAAAAATTATTTTCAAGAATGTTTTCTCCTTCACTCAATGTCAGTACAGAACACCTATGGGAAGTCTGCTTGATTTGTGTCATGCCATGTGATTTGCAGTCAGGTGTTGTTTCTGTAGCATACAGTAGGAAGTGCTTCTCAGTGATACATCACAGCAGTCAACAAAGAGAAATCGGGATCTACTTTGGATTTGGACATCTCCGTACAGTACACTGAATAATTTACATGCTAATGTTCTGTGCTGGTTTTTGTAAATAACATCTTTTTAATAAAGGGAAAACATTCACAAGTGTACAATAAAGTATGTTAAGTTTTCGGGGGAATCTGCTTTTTGGTTTTGGCTGCTGCTGTTTCCGAGGGAGAAAAAATGTTGAAAGCCAGTGTTGTTTAGAAACAAAGTTTATTTACAAGGAAAGATACAGTTATTTCCATGGTCTGGATCTCTCCACAATGCTGCTGTTTGAGATAATTGGTGATATTCCTGGTTTTGAGCAAAATAGTGATTGATACATAGTATTGGTACTTTTTCTGCACTGGATTGAAGGCTGAGTGTTCCTTGCTGTTGTCAGTATACAAAATTATTTTCTTTCTTAAAGGGATATGGAAAGCCTATTTTCCCCCCTTTACAGTGCACTTGATTTCTTGAGTAAAATAGCAAATTGAAATGTAATGACTGAAAATCTGTAAATTTGACAAGGGTCAAATCTGGCTTTTTGCCATCATTGCCCTTAAGTCATCTGGGTGGTCAGTGTGTGCTTGGGAAAACTGCAAACAGCCGTCCTGCCTTCGTCTGGAGTCCTCTGTGGAGAGGGGCAGCTTTGCCCTCCACTGTCCATTGCTGCCCCTCAGTGGTGCAGTTACAGCACCTCACTGTGGATTTTCACTTAGGTTTTAACCACACAGCAGCACCACTGCATTTAGGATTTAAGTTTTCAGTTTTTGTTTAGGATTTCAGGATGCAAACAGTACTCTTTGGTATTATGGCTCAGACAGCCCAATTTGCTGCCAAAAAATGCAGGACTGCCCCAACCCAGTCTGGGTTGCCCCTGTGTTTCTGTGGAGCTTAAGTGTATATGCTCCTGTGCTCTCCTAGTTCAGGGAGTTGTGCTGACTTAGAACTGTTGCCTGGCTTCATACATCTTGTTTTTTTGGTAGGGACCTCCCTGTAGCTTGGCTTGTGTCAGAGTCAGAAAAGTGGCAGTGTGGACCATAGGAATATGAAAGTAGAGGACACAGGACCATGCTTTCCATAATAGCCTTCATTTGTACTTGGCTGAGCTCCTTATGCCTCCTTAAGGAGTGGGCTTATATGTGCTGGAATGCTTCACTTTTGCTTCCCTTGCTCTGGATCCCGTGTTCTGAAGCATAACTGGTAGGAATGGATGTTACTGGAGATGTTACATTTCCTCCATAGAATAAGGGAATAATGAAAGCTGATAAGTGTAAATTGATGCCATTTAGTTGACAGTATCCAAGCAAAGTCCTTCTGATTTGTCCAAACAGGATTTATTCCAGTCATATCTGGTTTTCACGCATTCAGAAGTGAAGCCAATAAAAGATGGCAAGCAGAATGCAGAGTGGAAAGCTAACTTTTGACAGAACTGTATGGGATGAGACTGACATACCAGAGGTGAGATTAGCCAAGCAGTAAGACAGAAAATATACACCTTTCCCTCAGGACAGTATATTTTAGGGAGGGGTGGGGTTTTTTGGTTTTTTTGTCCACATATTATAGGACCAATTACACCTTACCAACTACACTGTCTTAGTTGCTTTTTGTATATTAACATTTTTGACAGTCCTCTCTAGAGAAATAAGCTAAATTAACCTGGGATATTGCAAGTCATGGGCTAATTTCTCAGAAACACAGAGGTATCATTAAAAAACCCCCACTATTTTTCTCTAAACATGAAGGAGGACATGCAGCTCCTGCTAATGGAGTAAAAATTATAATCATCAGTACATTGCATTAGTTTATTGCGTTACAGTGTTGGTGAAGCAATGAAGATGCTTTAAAAATAGAGTCCTTACAAAACACGAGTGAAGTGAGGCTGTGTGAATACAAGATATTTTAAGATACTTGCCGGGTCACCGTTAGGTAATGATTCCTACTTGGAGAAGTCCCATTACGTTAGAGCTCTAAGCAGTAGTGGGAGCCAAGAGAACTGGTTAATATTCAAGCATCACTTCCTCTGAGGTTGGTGCATCCCCATGGGTAAGACATCAAGCAAAGGGAGCAGGAGACCTGCATGGATGAGCAAGGAGCTTCTGGCAAAACAGAAAGAGGGAGTCTACAGAATGTGGAAAAAGAGACAGGGCACTTGGGAGGGATATAGGAATGTTTTCAAAGTGTGCAGGCACGGCATGTGGAAGGCTAAGGTTCATTTGGAATTAAATCTGTCAAGGGATGTCAAGGAAAACAAGAGGTCCTCCTTCAAGTACATCAGTAGCAAAAGGAAGACTAGAGAAAATGTGGACCCATTGCTGATGGTGACAAAGGATATGGAGAAGGCAGACTTACTGAATGTCTTTTTTACTTCAGTCTTTACCATTACTGCAGCCCTCAGGAATCCCTGACCCTGTAGGCAAGTGAGAAAGTCTGGACAAAGGAAGATTTTGTGTTGGTTGAGGAGGATCGGGTTAGAGTTATGGGTGTCAAGGCAAACTTGTCTCTCACAAATCCATGGACCCTGATGGGATGCAGCCTCAAGTGCTGAGGGAGCTGGGAGATGTTATTGCTAAACTGCTCTCCATTGTCTTTGTAAGATCATGAAGAAGAGGTGCCTAAGAACATGAGGAACTTCAAAAAGAGCAAGAAGGAAGACTCAGGAAACTACAGGCCAGCTAATTCATGGAAAGGTGATGGATCCTGGTAGTCATCTCTAAGAAAGCAGAGAAAAAGAAGGCTGTCAGAAGTACTAGCATGGATTCACCAAGGGGAAATCATGCTTGACCAATCTGATAGCTTTGTATGATGGAATGACTGGTTGGATAGATGAGGGGAGAGCAGTGGATAACATCTACCTTGACTTCAGCAAGGCTTTTGACACTGTCTTCCACAATATTCTCATAGGCAAGAACTGGCTGAATGGCAGGTCCCAGAGGGTTGTGATCAGCACCACAGCGTGCAGCCAGATGCCTGTAGCTACTGTATTCCCCAGGGCTCAGTATTGGGTCCAGTCTTATTCACCTTATGATTGGCCTGGATGAGGGGACAGAGTGCACCATCAGCAAGTTTGCTGATACCTCAGAGTGCTGTGCAACTGTTCTGTGAGACCTGGACAGGCTGGAGAGTTAGTTGGAGAGGAACCTAATGAAGTTCTACAAAGGCAAGAGTGGGGTCCTGCACCTGGGGAAGAATAACCCCCTGCACCAATACGGGCTGAGGTCCAATCTGCTGGAAAGCAGCTCTGCGCAGAAGGGCCTAGGGATCCTGGTGGACAACAAGCTGCCCATGAGTCAGCAGTGTGTTCTTGCGGCCAAGAAGGCCAATGGTATCCTGGGTTGCATTAGGAAGAGCGTTGCCAGAAGGTTGAGGGAAGTGATCCTGCCCCTCTACTCAGCCCTAGTGAGGCCGCATCTGGAGTGCTCTATTCAGCTTTGGGCTCCTCAGTACAAGAGAGACATGGAGCTCCTGCAGCAGGTTCAGCAGAAGGCAACAAAGATGATTAAGAGACTGGAGCAGCTCTCTTACTGGAGCAGGCTGAGGGAGCTGTGAGATGACCTTATCAAGGCATACAAATGTTTTAAGGGGAGGTGTCAAGAGGATGGTGCTCAACTCCTCTTCAGTGGTGGCCAGGAACAGGAAAAGGGGCAATGGACACAAATCGAAACACATCTGAATATGAGGAAAAACTTTACTGTGAGTATGGCTGAGCACTAGAACAGGCTGTGCCAGAGAGGCTGGAGATATTCTTCTCTGGAGATATTCAAAACCTGCCTGGACACAGTCTCATGCAACCTGCTCTACATGAACCTGCTTTAGCAAGAGGTTGGGACTAGATGATCTCCAGAGGTCCCTTCCAACCCCAACCATTCTGTGGTTCATTTCATAGCCATGTAGCTTATGTTAGTACTGCTTTTGTGCAATCCAGACAAGAAGAGATGCTTGATAATGTTTCACAGTAATTTCTGAGTGATGTGAAGGGAACGTCAGTAAAATATCTGGTATTCATGGTGTCTAAAGAAAAATTTAGAACTAACTGACAAATATTGAAGATTCATAGATATAGTACCAATTGATATAGTACCAATTAATTTTCTACGGCAGAAATTCAGTGAGAGTCAGAGCAGTTTAGTTTGAATGACTTTTCCTTCAAAAGAAGAGCAAAGGAAAGCTCATTTTCAGAGCTTTGCTGTATTAACTCTGATAATGCAAAGCTCCATTAATTAAAAAAAAATTAAAAAATCAAAATTCCTCTAAAATATGTGGCATTGTCTGTTACTTGAAATAAGCCCTATTTATATGTAATTATGAAAGAAATGTAAATGGCGATGGTGCTAATGTAGGAACATGCACTTTTTGAAACAGTCTGCATTAAAATTAACAAAAAGCAAGCTGGTTGTTGCAAATGCTGTAATCTAGAAGCCATTTACATGTGCCATTTGATTCTTTGGGTACCTGCTAGTAGTTGAAATAGACATTTTTTGTCTAAAAATTTCATATGATCATGTTATATTTGATTATATTTTTTCTTCCATAGGGATTTTATGTAAAAATTATTTTATTTTACATTTTAAGAAGATTCAGGAAGATGATGTAACATCCTAAAATACAAGGATGCAGGTTGCTAATCAATTTTGTATCACACTAAGATCTGCAGACATGGAGTTGATCTCTGGCAGTGATCAATTCTTAGTATCTTTAGTAGCTGATAAACCAAGTTTCTCCTTGATCACCTATTTAGCAAGAAAATATGAATAAAATGTTTCTGCACGATCCTCATCTATTCTGTTGAACACACTGAACAATCAGAGCTGGCCTTTGGTATAAAATACCCTTCTTGAAAGCACTAGGTGGCAGAGCAGTGTAGCTTTCCAGTAGGTGCAAAACAAAAGCCCGAGATCACAGGTAAGATAGGAAACAGTGTGCCTGTGTAAGAAAAACATTTGCAAAAGGACTTTTTTAAGTATGAAGAAAAATACAATAGTTGTTATGAAATCTAAACTAATACATTGTAATTAATTTTTCCAACTATAGTTAATTCAGTCTATACAGAGAACTTATGCACTGGCTTTTGTGGATATTTATGCATTTCTTCTCTTTGCTGGGTGAATTATTTGAATTGTACCTATCATTTTTCCTTAAATACAGGTAG